TTATTTTTAAGAGTGCAAACTAGATTATATACATGGTACTATACACACCACATACAGGTCCTTCTCAAAAAATGTGCATACTGTGATAAAGTTCATTATTTTCTGTAATGTACTGATAAATTTACTGTATTTACTGTATATATTGTATATCATATTTCTATTTCACCTGTTCCTTTGTCTCTCCTACTGCTTTGAGCATGTACATGACACAAGAATTTCCCTTGGGATAAATAAAGTTGTTCTTATCTTATCTTATCTTAAACATTAGACTTTCATATATATTAGATTCATTACACATAACTGAAGTAGTTCAAGCCTTTTATTGTTTCTAATATTGATGATTTTGATCATGAAAACCCAAAATTCCTATCTCAAAAAATTTGCATATTTCATCAGACCAGTTAAAGAAAAGTGTTAATTTAAAAAAAAGTCAACCTTCAAATAATTATGGTCAGTTATGCACTCAATTCTTGGTTGGGAATCCTTTTGCAGAAATTACTGCTTCAATGCGGTGTGGCATGGAGGCAATCAGCCTGTGGCACTGCTGAGGTGTTATGGAGGCCCAGGATGCTCCGATAGCGGCCTTAAGCTCATCCAGAGTGTTGGGTCTTGCATCTCCCAACTTTCTCTTCACAGTATCCCACAGATTCTCTATGGGGTTCAGGTCAGGAGAGTTGGCAGGCCGATTGAGTACAGTACTACCATGGTCAGTAAACCATTTACCAGTGGTTTTGGCACTGTGAGCAGGTGCCAGGTCGTGCTGAAAAATGAAATCTTCATCTCCATAAAGCTTTTCAGCAGATGGAAGCATGAAGTGCTCCAAAATCTCCTGATAGCTAGCTGCATTGACCCTGCCCTTGATAAAACACAGTGGACCAACACCAGCAGCTGACATGGCACCCCAGACCAGGGGCGTCGGACTGGGGGGGGAAAGGGTACCGTTTACCCAGGGCCCACTGCAGGGAGGGGCCCTGAGACAGCTTTGAATAAAAATGTTTTATTGTTGTTGTTTTTTTCCCCCAACTTACTTAATGTCTTAATAAATTTCCCTTTACCTGGATAAAGAGGTTAAGAAACAGAATTTCGCCTTAAAAATAATAACTGAATAATCTCTGAGGCATCTATCACCCCTTAAAAATGTGCAAAGTGGTTTAGTCCACACCAGCGGCCAGGGGCTGCCCGGCTGCATGTGCTAATGAGACATCGCAGATGCCGACAGCCAGAGCTGGAGGCAGGAGAGTCAGTCATGTCTTTTCCCAAGAAAGGGAAATCTGGCTTCCAGAAAAGAAAAGAAAAGAAAAGAAGGAGAAGGAGGAAAAGTTAATTGAACAGAAGCAAGTAGAAGGAAGGTGAGCAGCAGCAGCAGAACACAGTTTTAGCTGATATTAGCTAGCTCTCAGAAGCTGCATTCATGTTAGGTGTTCAGTGTTAAACACCTTTAGTTTCACCATCAAGATCAAATATAAATTAATTAGTGTTATCAGTGAAAACACTAATTTTAGGGATAAGCCGGATACTCATTTCAGACGAGTATCCGGTATGGATAACGCATTTTTGACGAATACGAGCATGAAACTAGTAAAACGAGTCATTATCTGTAATCGTGCTGAAGGAAAATCTTCATTGGGTAACTGACTGTCTTCACGCTCTGTGATTGGCCAGTCACATAGAGCGCCCGCCCCTCCCTACTTACAAAACTCTCTAGCCGACCGGGAGCTCAGTCCGGCCGGCTCATCCACGCACACACACAGACAGTAACGGATCGCGCTGTGATGGCTTCACTGTTGCTCACGTTTCTTCAGTTTTCCCTAGGTTTTCTTCAGCTCGCCTCTTTTTCGGTTGAATATTTAAAGTTACTTTTTTAGTAACTGACATGGTGCATTTGACAAGACAGAGCTGACGTGCTGTTGTCACTACCTCCGCTCCGGTGGGGTTTTTTATTTTTTTTCTCTCTCTCTCTCTCTCTCTCTCTCTCTCTCTCTCTCTCTCTCTCTCTCTCTCTCTCTCTCTCTCTCTCTCTCTCTCTCTCTCTCTCTCTCTCTCTCTCACACACACACACACTCACACACTCACACACACACACACACACACACACACACACACACATTAATCAACATTTCTTTGTTAAACTTTGTGTGGGAAAATGCCAAGAACGTTAAGAAAAAAATCAGTTTAATCAAATTAAAATAAAAAAATATATATAAAGTTGTGTCTGGTTCTAGCATTTCATATTTCCTAGTTCCTACTGCATGGGTTCAGATGTATTAATCCATGCACTCAAATATTAATGTTCTGATTTTATTGAAACACTTTTTCTGTAATAGTTTCTTTACTATTGTGATCAAAAATATTTAATCTCACTTCTGAGGCTGCTCTGTAAATAGTTTTCAAATAAACAATACACATAGCAACTTCTGATCAATCCATATCAATTTCAGACTTAAAATAATACATTGATGTAAACCATGTCCACTTCCGGTTAAACCACGCCCACTTCCGGGTTATGCCACGCCCATTCCGAGTACAGATACAGATAGTGGTGTACTCGCTCATCCCTAATATATATATATATATATATATATATATATATATATATATATATTAAAATCAGAATTATTATCGCGGGTGGCCGCCGCCAATTAATTCGCGGACCTCGCAGTAAAAACAGGTTCACTCTGTGTGGATATTTCAGCTCCTTCCCAGTCATGGACCAGGACAAACTTGGTATCGATGGATTCGTGGTAATCTCAGGAATGAGAAGCTGCCACTGTTTTTCGTATAGCATGACGACACTGGTGTTAGAGGATTGTTATTGACTTGGTTAGATATTTTAAGCCTATTTTAAATTTCTTTATATTTGATCTTGAAAACGGACAATCTTATAATTTGGCTGATAATGCAGGGATTATAAAATTTAGAGTGCATTACATTCACAGAGAGAACCTGGTTTATTTCATGTCATATGTATTTAATATATCAATACATATAAGTATTAGCAAAGCTTAACATCATGAACCATGACAGACATGACTGAAGAGCAGATGAAGATATCATGCCAGGCACTGATGAGAAAATATTACAAGGATCTCACAGCTGAATTTGAGAATGAGATGCTGCACCTGAGAACAATATATGGTGCCACATTTCCACACATTCGGTCTCCTCTTGAGCTGCTTAATGCCATACAGGATGCAATTACAGAGCATTTTTGGAGAAGTTTGTATTGGACTGAGGATTTTTTGCACACTGCCTGTGACTGTTGCTGGGGGTGAACGGGCTTTTAGCAAACTGAAACTGGTGAAAAATTATTTGAGATCAACAATGTCCCAGGATAGACTGAACAGCCTAGTTCTTCTTTCTATTGAAAGCCAATTAGCCAAAGGATTGGACTTTAAAGATCTCATAAGTGATTTTGCTAACATGAAGACCCGTCAGTGGGCATTTACAGGAAAATAAATTCCAGGATTTTTGTTTGAACACATTGTTGGCAAATAAAAATAATTATATGTGAAGTCTTGGCATTTCACTTTTATTATGCTGGCATTTGTATTTGCTCAATATAGAGGTTAAACTAAGATCATATTTATTATCTTGTCTTATAGCATGACAAAAAATGTGTCAGAGAGATATTAAGTAATTGAGCATGGGGGCCCACCTAGAAGACTTGTACCTAGGGCCCAGAATTTGGTGCTACGCCCCTGCCCCAGACCATCACTGACTGTGGGTACTTGACACTGGACTTCAGGCATTTTGGCATTTCCCTCTGCCCAGTCTTCCTCCAGACTCTGGCACCTTGATTTCCGAATGACATGCAAAATTTGCTTTCATCCAAAATAAAGTACTTTGGACCACTGAGCAACAGTCCAGTTCTGCTTCTCTGTAGCCCAGGTCAGGCACTTCTGCTGCTGTTTCTGATTCAAAAGTGGCTTGACCTGGAGAATGCGGCACCTGTAGCCCATTTCCTGCACACGCCCGTACACGGTGGCTCTGGATGTTTCTACTCCAGACTCAGTCCACTGCCTCCACAGATCTCCCAAGGTCTGGAATCGATCCTTCTCCACAATCTTCCTCAGGGTCCGGTCACCTCTTCTTGTTGTGCAGCGTTTTCTGCCACACTTTTTCCTTCCCACAGAGGTACACTCCAGGAACAGCCTATTCGTTCAGAAATGTCTTTCTGTGTCTTACTCTCTTGCTTGAGGGTGTCAATGATGGCCTTCTGGACAGCAGTCAGGTCGGCAGTCTTACCCATGATTTTGGTTTTGAGTAATGAACCAGGCTGGGAGTTTTTAAAAGCCTCAGGAATCTTTTGCAGGTGTTTAGAGTTATTTAGTTGATTCAGATGATTAGGTTAATAGCTCATTTAGAGAACCTTTTCATGATATGCTAATTTTTTTGAGATAGGAATTTTGGGTTTTCATGAGCTGTATGCCAAAATCATCAATATTAGAAACAATAAAAGGCTTGAACTACTTCAGTTGTGTGTAATGAATCTAATATATATGAAAGTCTAATGTTTATCAGTACATTACAGAGAATAATGAACTTTATCACAATATGCAAATTTTTCTGAGATGATTACGATCACTTTCACAACTAAATATTTACACATCATCACCCCCTCACCCTTTGAAATTGACACGAATGGAAACAAGATGGGAAAAGTATGTTAATATTGGCAATTTTACTTATCGGGCTGATGTCAGAAAATTACTAACATCAGCCAGTACCAATATTGGTGCTAATATATTGTGCATCCCATAGTAGTGATAGCTTATCTGGACATTTTATGACCAAAAATAGTTTGATCGGAATTTGTGACAATTGCCTACATGTCTATATGAACTTTTTTTTTGTAAATGCAAAACTAGTTTCAGAAAACAAGCAATAAAAATTAAATACTATCTGAAAATTTTTCCTTTGTAAAATTTAACCACATAAGGTGTATGTGACTCTGACTCTGTAACTATTTCCTTTACTTACAAACACTTAACACAAAAATATGTATTAACCACAAAACACTAAAAGTTTTTTAATCATTTTTACAAAGTTTTAGAGTACAAAGTTTTTTTTAATGAGAAAAACAGCAATGTTCACAAAAATACAAATCAACAGATGTGAGATAAATAAAAAAAAAGCTTTACTTTGTTTTTTGTGATAGTGTGGTGGTAACTCGGATTCAGTAAAACAGTCAGAATGTAGACACTGAATTAAAAAGAGGTTTAAAGCAAACACCAAACCTCTGAAATGTGAAACTACAAAACAACTTGGATTAAGCTACACATTATTCGCTAAGTCCATTCTTGAAAACTGTATACACTTTTATAAGCGAGACATCCAGAAGAGGGTCTGTTCGTGTATTTTGGCACAAAATTTGGCTGTTATATCAAAGATCAATGTGCCGTTTAATTCATTTATTTTTATCTCCTATGCAAACCTAAAGAGTTCTGAGGCGGCGTAGGTTGTTCTGATGTGACCAGACGAAAAACTGCAAACCAAAATTAGCTTAACTACCTGGTAATATCTGCAAAACAGCTGCTCCAGTGATAAATTCCTGCATCTACCATTCACTAAAACACAATCCTGTAGTTTATCCAGGGTTGCTTGGTTACTCCCTCATAAAAAAACAGAGGCAAACTAAAAGAACAGCGCATCAGGACTCTTTGTTTCGTCCTACGGATGCAGCAGCAATAGCTTGGTCACACAACATATAAGCCAACGTAAACCGTTTAAATTATTTTACCTATCGTTCTTACTTTTGTGCATAAAATGCATCCAGCTCCCATACAGAGCCGTACTCCCGTTCCCCTCACACGGCCGTAACAGTCCTCTTCTGCAGCTAACTCCTACACAGACATTTGATGCCAATTACTTCTCTTAAAATCAGCTCAAAGTTGTATTCCTGAATTCTGTGGCATGCTTACTGTGCAAGTGTAGTTATATCCCATTAAAAGTCAAAAAGCCTGAGAAATAATTATGAAAAAAATGGTTTCAAGAACCACTGAAAGAATGCTTGATCAGTTTTGGAGATGTTCTTTCAGCACAACCTGACAGATAATACTTTTTCACCCCTTCTAATTTTAATTTACAGGTCGATGGGAATGGAAATAATATAATAACGCACAAGTTACTCAGAGTGCGATACCGCTGGGTCACATGGCTTTTAGAGATGAGTTTGAACAAACAGGAGGGTGGCGAGGGAACATTTGTTCCACCGCTAGTTCCTACAGCGCATTATCCTCAGGGGTGAAGAGAGCAGAGAGGCCCAGCGGCTCCGTCGCCACTATATCCACGTCTGGTTTGGGGCTTTTGAAGAGCGACGGAAGGTTGCGGATATGAACCTCCTTCCTGAACTGCTGGCACAGAGCTTTCTGTTAGCAGGGGACAAGGAAAAGAGAGGTTAAACACATATCCAGATACACCAGAGCAGATTTACAGCACAGCCAGAACCACACTGCTGCTTTGCAGGGTCTGAAGCTGGGAAACACAAGAGCAGCACCGCTCTCTCGTGGCTGCACGGTGGAATTACCCCAACAGTTCCAGCAATCAGCTTCTTGAACTGGTCTTTTCTCTTCTTCTCTCCCGCCTTGTGGACACTGGGGTTCAGCAGCCTTTTATCATACTGGTCCAGAGCCTCCTTGCTGATATTTGGTATTTGAGTCATCACTCCTTTCAGCTCCAAGTAGCGAGGCCGCTAACATGGGCGGGGGTAAATGCCAAGTCAGAGGGAATGTTAAAAACTTCTCACTTGGATTACTACATATATAATCCTAAAAGCAGTGCTAACAAGAAACATTTGTGAAACTGGTGAAAAAGTTGCCTCACCAGGCTTTCGTAGATTTGAAAGGCCAGATTAGAGAGGGCCGAGTTGCAGACTTCGTGCTGCCCGTGAACGTGAAGGCCTCTGAGAACGCAGGTAAAGAACCACGCGACTGCTTCAGCGAGAAGATTACCAGATACGACCTGAAGAGAGAAGGAAATGTGGAAACGGGACTTTTACAATCATCTCTCAAGTCACAGATAACAAAACACACGTAATCATCTAATAATGATCTGACTCATCTGAGCTCAGCCCAGTGGGTATTTATGTTCTCAACTGTGTTGTGTGTGTATGTGCATGTCACTGGGTAGGGGGGGAGTTTTTTTTTTTTAAATTGTCAACGACAATTGTGGGATATGCGGGTGCTTTTTAATCTGTACAGCACTCTGAGTTACATTTTCTGTATGAAAAGTGCTTTATAAATAAAGTCTGGTTTGATTTAAATTACTGACTTTTAGCACAGAAAAAAAACCCATTTAGGATGAAAAACTGGAATGTGCCAATCCAGGCAGTTTCTGAATATAACAGCTGAGAGCTAAGAACAGAAAAAACAATCTCCTTTCACAAGGTTTGTGGGAATATTTAGATGGTACATGGAGTAAAGATGACATCTTGTGGTCAAATTTGGGTACTGCAGCCCACGTATCACTCGGCATTTCCACTCGAATTGTAAGCGGCGTGTAACATGATAAGCATGCGAGCTCCCTTCCCACCGGAAACGTTTCAGATGTAAATCGACAGTTCCATGAAGCTGGCCCCAAATCACGAGAGAAATCTCCGGAGAATTGCGAAACCACACGTGATTTTGCCAATTAACAAGATAACAAGCAAGGAGAAAGATGGCAGCATTTATCCAAAAAGGTCTGTGGTTAATTTTCTGTTGACCTCAGCTATTGAGGTTTCACAGCAAAATACCTACTTTGTTTACTAGTTAAGCAACTGGAAAGCAGCATGAGACTTTTATTTTGAAAGTTTCCACATGTTTTACACTACTTTTGTGTTCGACTTCCTGTCTGGCCCGATGGGACCTCCTGAGCTTGACGTGTTCTGGAATTGTAGCACTTAAAACTAAACTACTCGAAGCGTAAATTCAGCAGAGCGACACTTAAACGTTTGGTGGAGAGGTCCAGTAAAACGCCACTTTAAGCCACTCCCCCTGCCCTACGTAGCTGTAACCAGTTACGGCCCAACACGACACGTGAAGACGAATCATACACAGTAAGTTGATAAGTAGATAAATACATTTCATTGTAATATGAAGTTGTTGGTAATTGAAAAAGTAGGCTGAGATATTTTTAGGGCCAATTATTTTTTTCTAATTCACCATTACCATTGTTAGCTCAGCGTTAGCATTAGCTGTGGCTTCTTATTGGTACAAGAAATAACTTCTAGGCTACTCCTGTCACTGGCTAACATTCTGTCCACAAAGCTGCTGCTCTTCACGAGCTGGAATCAAATTATATATGCCGGCGCTTCAGTGTTTGAGTTGCAGACGTGGCAACTTAGCGAGTTCACATTTAATTGGCTCAAGAACCAGAAAGTATGAAGGCGGAACAGATCGTCTATGTCACTTTTCGGCCTTTTGAATGGAGAAAAATTAACAACCCAGCCGGGTGAGAAGGAAATCCGTTTCATTGTAGCCGTCCTTCCAACAGGACTGAAGCAGACTGTTTTGTGATTACTTTACAGTAAAATTTGTACTTATTGTGTAACTCACAAGAGTAAATATGTGGTGTTAAGTGTCCTACCTGTCGCAGAAGGGTCCAGCACACCATTGAAGCGGTGCGATGGCAGTTAGTAGCATCGTTCCACGACAGGGATGTGAAAGCAAGCGTCAAGAGAGACAAATAGATGTTCTGAAAGAGGAGAAACTGTGAGCTCTCCTGCGTTACAAAGTTCGGTTCCCTGATTTTTCTGTCTCAAACTGACCTCGTGCTTCATCAGACACTTTCCGAGCTCAGTCAGCTCATCCATGGGCGGAGAAGACGCCACCTGCACCGAGTCAGTTATCATGTCTTCCTCTGTGAGAACACATGTCAATCTAAACCATCACTTTTCTCTGGCCTAATGAGCAAAACCACATGCAGTTTTACTCTTACCATCAACTTCTTCTTTATTTGATGCAGGTTCTGACACTTTTTTGGAAGTGCAGCTGACAGCTACAGATAAAGAACGAGTCTCATTACTGAATTTCCTCTTGTGAAAACTCAAGTCTCTACAGCTTAATCTCTCTCTACACAGCATGCAGGTAAAACAGTCTTGGACACATCAACAAACACTTGCAGATCGAGTCCATATCGGCCACCTTCTTGTCTTTGAAATCTTTTCTCTTCCAGTAAAAATAAAAGTGCACGAAAAGGCTGATTTAGATGCCATTGTAAATATTGAAATCACTCACTTAGAAGGTCCATAACCTCCCTGGTGATCAGGCGCACAAGCTCCTCCTCCAACATCTCCTGAGTCACCTCGATGTCCTGACAGGGCTCCTGCTCCTCATCCTCACCGCTAAAAATACAGTCACCAATAGCACCACATATTCTATTTATATCAAAAACAGATGGAAGTGGTATAATTGAATAGAAAAACATGTATCTCAGGTACTCTTCAGGGTCTATTAGATCATTCGATGTGGAAAAACAGACGCGTTTCGGTCGCGTATGACCTTCAGGGCATAAACCCTTTTGGTTTGCAGTTGTTATGCCCGGTCAAGCATCGGCTTTCTCTTGCGCAATAAAATACAATCCTCGAATCACCTGTTTTTCTTCCTCATCCTCATCGAATATTCGGTTTAAAACTTAAGGAACGGTAAAGCACCACTGATTCAGTTAGAGAGATTTTCTTAAAGGTGTTGAACACTCGCGTAATCAATACATTTCCAGTGGTCTCTAGTAGGAAGGAATGCCTTGTAAGTTGTACTCTGGGGAAGAAATACACCAGTGCACCATTTTCAGGAACTAGAAGTGAGCCACATCACAGCTGAGCTGCAGTATGTGGAGTTTTATTTCCTGATATTTCTACATCTTGCCTCAGATTGGATAAAAGCAATGAGACTACCACCACTGACTTGCAACGTTGACCTTTTATCTCCACAAATAACACAATACTGGAAGAGCTCTGCTGTGTGGTGAAGCTGCTAATGCTAGTAGTTAGCTTCTACTAGCAGAGATGTCCTCTGCCGTTTTCTGGACGCTACAGCAGTCTTCCCCGTTGCAAGTCAAGACAGATGAATCCATCAATGCTAATTGCATAGATCTGTCAGGATTTTCAAATCCTAAAGTTTCATCATCTATTTTCTATCAGAAGCTAATGCAGGAGACAGGTGTAGGAAACGATTTTCATGTTCAGCCTGCTTGAAAAACTCAAATAGATTATAATCAGAAATAACATTTAAAAAATAACTTTCCTGTGTTCCAAACATTTCAAATACACAAATGGAACCACAACCTCGATTTTTTTCCTATGAGCACATTCATGATTTTTTTTGTTAGTTCCCCAAAAATTTCCTGTTTTAAAACCATTTGTAAAACATTTTATAACAACTTACTTTACGGGCATCCTCTGGTTGATGACCTGCCACTTGGTGTTAAGTCTCTGGAATATGAAGCAGAAGTCATTAGAATAAAAAACAACAGTGGCTGTGCAAACAGAATGAGACTCTGACCTGAAGCATGTAAGTGAACAGAGGGCCCAGCAGGGGGCGTAGTAGACTCTCATAGTACTCTGGAGGACAGGAGAGCGCCAGTGGCTTCACAAACAGCCGTGCATTCTCGTTAAGGTAAATCTGGCTTAATGAATAATAATACAGAGAATAATACGCAAACACCAAATGTGGCGGGAAAACAGAAGATCACGTAGGATATGAAGCACTGGGCGAAGTCTGTGGTCGGGGACGTGATCGAGGGATGAAAACGCAGAGTCCGTTAGTCCTTCAGCCAGTTTCTCCACAGTGTAGAAGTCCTGCTGCAGGCCTGGGCCAGCTGCACCCAGGACATGGAAGCTGCACACGGAGGCAGACATTTATCAGACACACAAATAGGTGGGAACGATGCAAGATAAAAATAAGCAAAGCTGCCGTGTCAAAACACACCAGTTGTCATATAATGAGAAGAAAAATCTCTGCATGCGCTCCAGGCTGCTTTTATATACGGGAGCATCGTAAAAATCCAGAGGATGCTGAGGGAGACCTGGAAACCAAAAACGTTCAGACGATTTAGGTTTCAATAGGTTTCATGAGGAGGAAAATTTTATAAAAGCAAAAAATGCGGAAGGATTTTCTTACCGAGAATGACGTTCTTCTCTCCGTCCATCAATTCAAAAACTCTGGAGAAGGTCTCACTGAGATGAGCCACGTTTTCTGGTATGAGTAAAGCATTTTGAGTCCTGCAAAGGGACAGCAACGTTATTAGTTGAGTATTTTTAACCTATTTTAAGTCCAGAACTATGAATTTTTAGAATACGGCTTTTGTTGATGAAAGTTTCTAAAAGGTTAAGAAAAAACTAATCTTTTAGGAACTAAGAGCTCATCAGAATGTACCTGATCAGAGCTAGCAGGTTAGGCAGAAAGGCCAGGAACTGCTCAGCACAGGGGTTTCTGTAGATGGGGGCTCCAGCGGGAGTGTAGCCCCTCACAAAGCCCCCAGCCTTGGCTTCTTCCAGATCTGAAGGCCAATGTGCACGCTTCACCACAGCCAGCATGGCAAACAAGCAGAAGCTCAACTAGAAGGAAAAAGAAATGCAATGTAGCTGATAGTGTTAGAACTTAGGTCAAAAACAAGACCAGGCAGCCTTAAAGATCTGCTATTAGAACTCTGGACGCGGCTGCAATAAACTAGATTTGATCAGAAAAAAATAAAATAAAATAAACAGCGCTTGAAATTTCAACAGCAGAGACTGAGGGACATTTTGGTAAATGGCCTGTATTTGATATAGCGCCTTCTAAAGTCCTGGAACCCCCGCAGGGTGCTTTACAACACATTCAGTCACTCACACACACATTCACACCCCGGTAGGGATGCGCTACGATGTAGCCACAGCTGCCCTGGGGTGCACCGACAGAGGTCTCAGTTATTTGTTATTGTAAATGACTGGAGATTTGATCACTTAATACTTCCAAAGTAAATTCCTTTACTTTTAAAGGGGTCCTAGAAGACATTTTTTTCATTGAGGCTCGATAAAATAAATGAAATATTTTAGGGCTCAAAATGGCTCAGAAGCCCTGATAAATGCCAAACACAACCCCATAATAAACCCGGGTTTTCCAGCAGAAAACTTGAAAAGCCCGGAGGACCGTGAGGACAGGGGGGTGGGGGGATGAGCGTGACTTACCCCAGTTTCACACTGGAAGCCTCAGCGGCGCAAAACGGCAGCAGAACGGTTTACTCGCAAACAAAGCGGTCCTTTTCACACCAGGAGAGTCTTCCCATCTGTATCGGGTCGGCCCGGGCCGGGTAGCGTAGGTTGTTTACATATCTGGGTGGCCTGGTATTTTTCCGGGCCAACCAAGGCTCATCCTCAGCCCTCTTCTCGAGGGGGTCTGCTTCAGGTCGACCAGGGCCAACACACCCACTGCTGACAGCAAATTCACACCTTCCATTAGGGCAAGCCTCTGATTGGTGGGTAGCATCAGCCCACATGGGCTTAAGGCAGGGATGTGTGGAATCAACCGGGCCAGGCTGGGGCCGACTGGGGCTACCAGGCCCGGGCCGACCCGGTACAGATGGGAATGGCCCATTAGCCACGGCACGGCTTCCTCGCTGTGCTCTTCGTTGGACTCGCAAGATCACAAGATCCCTCGAGACTTCCAACTTCCTCCTCGCATGACTCTAGGGCTGAAATGAATCTTCGAATGATTCGATTCAATAAATTCCCCGATTCATTTTTTACCGATTCGAAACTTCGCTAAATGTGCGAACCACAGTCTGAACACATTTAACTGGCAACCTATGTGGTAATTTATGTGCTGTGGAGGAAAATAAAGAAACCAGCAAAGACACAAACCATTGTAAAAGGCAGAAACTGTTCAAAGTTTTGGATCAACAGTGAAACTACGAGCAGAATTGCTAGCGCTAAGCTAGCGAGTTGCACGCTTACAATCAAGTGGGGTTCAGAAAAAATGCGATGGTTGTGAATGACTAAACTCTACAAGCAGAAGAAATCTCTCCATCATCCCGTTTATTTGTGGATGTCTGCAGCGGTGTGGGGCAGAGATGCTGCAGCTACCTGGAGTCTGGGTTGTTGCTATGAGTCTGCGCCACGCAACGCAGCAGGTTTATGGCAAGCCATTGTAGCATGTAATTTACAAACGCTTCTATATTTGAATAGTTTACACTGGATTATGTTGCCAACCCATACATAATGCAATATATATGCCACCATTACATTATTACCAGTAGAAATTAAATGTTATCATTTCCAGTAGCTTATTACTGAAAATGTGAATGAAATAATTACCTTCTATTGATCCTATGCAGACATATTTAGATATGTTACTTTGACTAAGATGAGTGATATTAGCACAAACCTAAAATGTAATTTATCAAATTTTGTTCCATATAATATTCATTAACTATAAATATCAGCTAGGAAAGAGGGAACTAGACAACGCCAATTTAATACATATTGAGCCCTTAATAATTTTGTTGTTTTATTTTGGTATTTTTAGCAGCAGATCACTGTCTCATTTCACGTCGTAAAATAGAATATTTGATCAATCAGGATGATTGGATAGAAAATTCAAAAACTAAAATATTCAATAGCTGCAGCCCTACTTGACTCGCGAGATCACAGGATCCCACGAGACTTCAATCTGCCGTTAAACCAAAAAGAAAGAAATCACGCTTTATATCGATGTTTGATGTCTATATGATGTTGTTCCTCTCCAATGCCAGGATTAAAGCCTTGAAAAACACCCCGCTGCACTTCTGGAATGAAACTGGGAGTAAATAAGCTGTTGGGTCACACGTAAGCTACAAATATATGAAATTGCATCGCTGCTGTACTTTTATTTAGAAAATCACCAGGGATTTTACACTGAAACCGTGTGTGATTTCCTGTCTGGCCCTATGCTAAGTGGGGAAATGGACGTGTCCCAGAAGCGGCTTGCAGCAAAAATTTTACCCGATCCCATCTTTAGCGGACCGCTGCTTATGGAGCACGCCTGAAAATAGTCGCGTTGCAGCTGGTTTGAAACACTCCATAGACGATAATGGATTCTACTTGAAGCTGTGACATTCCGCTGCCGTTCCGCGCCGCTGATACTTTCAGTGTGAAACCGGGTTAGGCTTCCTGTGTTAACAACATATTAGAATTCTAGAACATGATTTAAGGTGGTCATTTTAGGATTTTCAGCATTTAGTGGATGCTTTTTGCTTTACCGATTGTCCTTTACCTAAAAAATAAATAAATAAACAATTTGTGTAAAATCCCTTTTCAAGGTAAAAAAAAAAAAAAGAACTACTCCTAAAATCAGACTGACACAAACTGATCTACATTAATTCTTCAAAATGTTTCACCATTTTCTCACGTAAAAACTAAATACTTACTCGACTCCGGTTTGGACCTGCTGTATCTTCAACATTCCCAGCCACCGCCTGATCAGCTCCAACAAAGGACAGGAACTTAATGGGGTCCCAAATCACACTGGAAAAAATAAATAAATAAAAAAGGTTAAAATCTTGTATGGCATGAAAAAAGACAAAAAAAAAAACCTCTGACCTTCTCATCTCCTCTGAGGTCCACTCTGCGACCACCGAGGCCATCAGCTCATCCAGAAAAGCCTTCTGCTTTTCAAAGTTTTTAAACTGGTTACTGATGAGCACCAGAGATTCTATCAGAGAGCCTTTCTCCATGTAGGTCAGCATCGTGTTGCTGGAAAACAGCTCTTTTACATCGTTGTAAAACATTTCAAAGCAAGGCTGTGGGAGAAAAATACACCAAAGTCACATTAGCGTTCACCACAAACACAAGAAACTGGGATAGAAACATTTTTACCAAAATAAACTGTGGGTAGTCTCGGCATATCTTTATGACCGAGGAGCAGGCGTGTCTCCTCACGCTCTTCACCGATCGAGTCCAAGTTGTCTTAAAAATAAAACACCATTGGTGATTTAGTCTTTTGATCATGAAGGATTTAGAAAAAATATTATATCCAGTTGTGAAATGACAACTCACCTTGCTTTCCGGACCAAGTTCAAATGTAATGGCTTTAAAGAGCTGGAGTCAAAACAATCAGATATTATTAAAGGGGAACTAGGCAGTCTGGGCAATCTTTTAGCACCCCTTAGTGTCCATTTGTAGAGCCAAAAGCTTCATATAACAGCTGAAATATCTCCCCAGCCTTTCTTTGTGTCTACAGGAATGATTAACTTCGAAAGTAACAATTAAGCTGTGTTCATGGTCTAAAACATGCAGGAAGCAGACTACAGTGCCATATGTCAGCTCAGTTTTTTTTAAGTCCCAACAGAAAAGCCTGCCAGTCTGAAATGGCCACAGGGGGCGATAGAGGTTGTGTTCCTTTCATCAACTCTGTAAAAGGGTCATTTTAGCACATACTGGCTCAAGGAAATTATTTAAATATAAGAAAAAGTTGCAAAGTGTCCCTTTAAATTAACCATTACAAGTGCAAAGGGCAGCACTGAAAAGCTGCAACTCTGGAGAGGTGCTCAGTCCCTGAGATGTTTCAAATAGTTTAGTAGTTCAAATAAAGTAACATCCCATTAACTCTTACTGATAATACGTTTTCTAACCTTGGAAAGGACCTGAGGAAGGAACTGTGGTCTGTGGATTACGAATGGAAAGAGAGCAGAGATGTTGCTGAGGACACAGGACAGGATGAGCGGATCTCTGGTGTCGTAGTTCAGCACGGCCTGCAGCAGCTCCATGCTCTGATCGATCGGCAACTTCTGCACAGTTTGAGGCAACACCATCAAAATAATAAGCGTTATTATTTAATTCCTTCTCAATCCATGACTTTTCTTAAGTTTGTCACCTCTTCCTCCAAACTTTTCATGATCTGGGATGACACGCACTCCATTAAGACTGTTGCAGCGTCCCACTGGATCACTGATGGGGACAGTATGGAGCACAAGCCCTCTACAGTCTTAGCTGGAGAAATGGGTTTCATTAAAAACAAATAAATAAACCTCATTATCAACAAAGCTTGACTTTTGCATAGTAAATTTGCTAGTTGGTGAAGGATGAGCCTGTACGCTTACACATGGTGTCTCCAGGATTGATCGGGCTGGCGATCTGATATAGTAACCATTCTGCTGCCATCTGAAAACCCTCTAGTGGAACGATACGACTCACACACCTCACAATGTCTCCCTGCTGTGATCGATATGCTTGAAAGCACACACACACACACACAAAAGCAATGTTAAGACAAAGGCGCCGGTTCTGGGAGATGTACAAATGAACCAATAACACCTACTGGAGAAGAAAAAGTTGAAGTCTTGGTCGTTGTCGAAGTCGATACGGGAGTACTCACAACTAGGGCTGTCATTTCTCGACGGGAAGCCAGTCTGAAGAGAGCAGAATCAACAACAATAAAATGAATTTATTTTCATGCTCATCATCTTGTTGATGTCACTCACGTCGGGTTTCTCACCTTCACAAGGTTGGTCATGGCTGCTTTCAGGTATTTGATGGCCGCTTCCCTGACAACTGCAACTTTTGACAGAGTCTCGTGTCTGAACAAAGACGCCCATGTCGACACGGTGCAGGATTTTAAAAGCTGCAAAAAGCAGGATTCACACAGAAACAATTAATGCTACCCATAATCTGATTTAAAAAAAAATCTAAAATAAAGTTTTCCAAGGAGGGAATGAAGAACATCTCACCTGACTGGAATGTGTAGTGAAGGCAAATAAGGCCTCTAAGTACTTGCCGAGGTTTGCAGGTACTTCTACCTCTACACTGGAGCCCTGTGGAGAGAGTCCCTGCTTATTAACCACAAAGAGAAAACTAGGGCTGCACGATATTAGGAAAACCTGCGATTAGGGCTGCAACAACGAATCGATAAATTCGATGAAAATCGATTACTAAAAGCGTTGGCAACGAATTGCGTCATCGATTCGTTGTGTCGCACAACTCTTCCAAAAGCCCCCCCCCCCCCCCCCTTCCCGCCCGCCGTTGCGCGCAGACCAGAGCAAGTCAAATCAGCGCGAGGGAGAGCTGCAGATTAGCGTGAGGGAGAGCCGGTACCGGCAGATCAGCGCGAGGGAGAGCCGCAGATCAGCGCGAGGGAGAGCCGGTACCGGCAGATTAGCGCGACGGAGAGCCTGCAGACTTGCGCTGCTGCGAACCGGTTCCGCATTGTTGTGCAGCGATCCAGGCAGCTGCCTCCAGCGCACGGTCCATTCTCAAAGTGGCGCAACCAAAAAACTATAATTAACACACGATCGTTCATGTCCGCACATGTTCTCTATTTTCTGTCTTATTTGTGCCTGAAGCGCGCTACTGCGGAGCTCATCACCAGTGCTGTGGTGATGTCACCTCACGCAGCATCGAAAACGCGCTCTGCGCTTTTCGGTCAGGAGATCCCTTTGACCTGCTCAAAAGTAACTGATGAGGTGAAAAGATAAGAATCCAGGCAACAGATTTTCTGGAGGATTGTGAGGAGATGCAGGAAGATGAGAGACAGACAGGACAGGAAAATAGTTAAATAAAAACAAGAAAACAAAACAAAGTGTTGAAAAGTAAAATGTAGGTAGATTTATCTCCACTACACGTTTTTACCTGTAAAAAACAATAAGTTATACACATGTCATATTTATACATCTGATACAATTCAGATCACCTTCAAAACTCAGTCACACACCCAGGGCCGTTTCAAGACATTTTGGGGGCCAAGGCAAAATGCCCCCCCCCCCCCCATAACTGGGCTCCCCAGAAGCCTCTGTGTAATTCATGCCCTCTCCAGTAGTGTTAGTTATATGGTGTTTATAAAAGCCCCTCAGACATTACTGACATGTTCTAATATTATCAGGTGAAAAACTAAATTATCAGACATGCTGTCTCATCTGCTGCTTTTGTAAACTTGCAAAAAGTAACAAAACCATTTGAAAGCCACTATTTGTGGATTCTCTGAAAGTTTCCATGGAGTGTGTGACAACTTATTTTTTCATTGATCCTATCGTCTAATCTCACAGCTGAAACAAGCATCCTTAATAATCTGTGCACAGGAAGCTTACCGATGCTGTAGTAAAACAAAAGGTATAATAATTTATTATTAATAAAACCTTGTTGCAGCACTAAAGCAGAAAAATGAGATTTTGCATTAAATATGAAAATATTTACATATGAATTGTTTTAGAGCCCTTTTATTGGCAGAATCTGATATTAATTTAGTTCTTACAAAAAATGGGTCCCAACATGGTTTGTGTGGCGTTGCCATAGTGTGACGTCATAGGCACAGATCCCCTGTCCTCTTGTTTGGAAATGGAAATATGGTCACCCTATATTAAACAAACTGTCCACCCGAGCTTTTGCGCTGCACAGAGACGCTTCGCTGCCTATGACTGAACGTCAGTTGAGAGTCAGTCTCATGCAGACTGACCAATGAAGAAAGGGCCTCAAGTTAAGACCCTCTCCTCATTGGTCAGTCCACACGAGGTGGGTCAAAGGTTACTCTGGGCGGGTTACGTGTTGTCAGGCATTCAAGTATTGAGTATATTTACTGCATATTACAGTAAAATATTCTGTATGTGACCACATTATGGTGATCCTCGGGTCGTGATGATGGAGCCCTTGAATATTGTTGCCCAGGGTACAACAAAGTGTTAATCTGGCCCTGGTTCCGCCGTCACATTCCCGCAGAAACTGGTTGATCACACCGGGGCCAGACTACTAGCATGTGGTTTTACAACCACAATGTCCTCGGAAGCAAAAACGCTTTTCAAAGGGAGGGAGGAGTCCTAACTGTTGCTGCAGGCGTGTTGTGTGAGAGTGCAGTTATATACTGGTTAATATATTTTTGGGTTCAGTTGCTTTCATGTGGCCTAATGTGAGTCTATTTGGGATCATTGGAATGATCAGCAGCATTTCTTGATGTGACTTTATGGCAGTTGCCCAGGGCATCATCACAAGGAGGATGGCATTCATTTACTTTTGTTTTATTTGGTATTTTTTCAGTCATTTTTGGAAATAGTGATCAATTTTGATTAATTCACAGCCTGTGTTTAATTACATTTAAAATAAATGTCAACAGATGAGATCAAACAAAACAGATGAGAATTGCCCTTAAGCTGTTTAACTTGGACCAAGCATTTTAGGTCACAGATAGATGTAGCTTAGGGTATCTGTCTATACACCTTATAAGACAATTTAGGTGATGGCATGTTGCTTTTCTGCTATTGAACTGTTTTCTAATAATGTTGTGTTAAATAAAGTGAAGGAAGGAGAGAAATAACGTTTCCCTAGCAGTTTTTAAAAATTTCCCCATTTAATCCGATTAATCGATTAATCGTGTCGAGACCCCATCCGATTAATCGATTATCCAAATAATCGTTTGTTGCAGCCCTACCTGCGATATTTGATAACAGTGCTTAATATTGCGATATCGATATTACTCACGATAAATGAACAAATACTAAAGTATGCAGTGTTGATGTCGTCTGGCTGTGATGGCTGCTCTGGGTTCAAAGCAAACAAAAACTAATGCATGACATAAGATTTTTATTGCAAAAATATGCAGCTGCACCTGCTACTGTATTAGCAGCTGCACCTGCTACTGTATTAGCAGCAAAACAACAAACTGCATGCATGCAGTTTCTCAGTGACTTTAAAACATCACCTCCACCATAAAACTTTTTCTGATGCTCCAAATACAGAAAAACATCCCTTACCAGGTTTTTTTTGAATAAATAGTTTAAATGTTAAATAATAGTTAACATCACTTAAATGCAACAGCAAATTCTCTCATTGCTACTGAGCATTTTCTCCACTTATGTGGTTATGATATAAGGCTGTTGCTGTAATTGGGAAGTGACCTGTGCTGGGCCAAACTAGGAGAATATTAAGATTTTCTGAGGGAAAAACAATTGTCTACCTATAAGAAGAGGAACTGGCAAAAAAAAAAAAAAAACCTACATGGAAAATATGTGAAAACTTTTTTTTTAACCCCAAATTGAACAAGTTTACCTAGAACTTAAAAAGCAGCTCAGATGATGAAACTGCAACTGTGATTCTGGTAACAAGCTAACAAATTGAACTAGCTCCTCTAAGATAACCGGCTAGCAGAGCTTCTGACTGACAGTTTATGTGCAGCAGCAAATCAACTATCCTGATTAACAAGGTTATAAAAGCTCATAAATGAAAAATCACTTTGATGTGTGGGGGAACTTTTCCAGGCCCTCTTTAGCAGGGTGGGACTGGGAGGAGAGTGCTGTAGCCTTTTAGCTGGAAGCTAACCGGAGCCTGGGCTAACCACCCGGTGGAACACTAGCGACATGGAGGTAGGTGGGTTGGTTCACCGGCACGTGTCGGAGTCAGCCCGGTTATTATCAGCTGCTTAACGACACCGAGCGGGTTCACGTTCACGTTTGAAAGCAGCACTGATTCCAGAAACTTCAGCACAAAGTGCGTTCGTTAATCTGAGCCAGCATGACGAACAAGGGAAGCGAACGTCAGCGGAAAGCGGGGGCGGCGGAGATAGTGGAATTTTGGGGTAAGGGTCTACGTAGGGGGTGGGCGTATTACGTGAACGGACCCATCTGATTGGCCGCATATCAGAGGGGCTACATTTGATTAGTCAAATAATACTTCCGCGTAAAAAAACAGAGCCGGTTTACAAAAAGTTGATGTATAACACCGATGGAAATGTTTGAACCAAACATTTATCGCCGTTTTTGACGTGCTTTGCGATGGGCCTTTCGCACGTCCTGTTATCACGATAACGATAAATTTTTTATATTGTGCAGCCCTAGAGAAAACCTAAGCAGCTACAAAACAGTTATTTCACATGTCTGAGTCTACATGAAGGACAAACAAGGACAAACTTACCACTAATGAGCAAAGCTGGAATCCTAACGCACACAAAACTTGACAGAGCCTCTTTAAGAAAACGTAACGCCGCTCTGCCATCTCCACGGCTCTAGAAGTACATGAAAGGGTTGGTCTATAACTCATAGCCAGATGTGGTCAACAGCCTAACATCTGTTACAATTTTTCATTAATGGAAGCCTTAAGTCCTAACTTACTGTGGGTCTGAGGAATTCGAGCATATCACGAGTCCATCTGCGGTTCTGTGCACAGGCAAACTGTTTAACAGCTGTGGAAAAGTTTGGCGTGAACTCAAAATGGAGCAGAGGTTTACTCACTGGGCTGCACAGAGAATGTAGTGGATGGCCACGTCATGAAACAGCAGCATGAAGGGCTTCCTCTCCTCCAGTTTGCCCTGTGACATCATCAAAAAAAAACATTTTAAAGACCTCAAACCTAGCAACTTAACTGCAGGAAAACTGAGTTAAACCGGCTCCTGATCAGCAGAGAAACAGAACACATTGTGTTAATAAATACATAGCTGTTCTGGCCAAACTTTCACACTGTCTGTTTAGAGTTTTCTGCTTTTTTTTTCATGCTACCACGAGCCAAATGAACACGGTGCCCAAAAACTTTTACATTGCAGATGGAGATATTTTGGTTTCAGAGTATAAAAAAAGGTTTTAAACAGCTTCCATCTGCTGTTATTGACAAAATTTACAAACTTTTGATGGCATCAACGCAAGATACTATGAAGGAACTTTAAAGAAGACATTTTACAAGATTCAATGCCAATTTCCCTGTTTGTGACATCACAGAAGGGGACTTTATGAAACAACTTGTTTAAGCCACTTCATTTCTAAAACCAAATACTGACAGAAAACATTTGCATTTTGCACAATATATCCTCTTTAACTCTGAAATCTTACCTAAAGCTATGTTGCTCTAGCTTAGTGAACCAGACCAACCTCTGCAGCCCCTAGCAGCATTCTGGCTGGCAAATTACAGCTCTCTGTAGGGGGTTTCCACCATTGTGGAACAATCATGGCACTCTATCCACTTTGTGGGCCTATCACAGCGCTCCATTTGTCTGGTGAGTGGGATGACGTGTCTCGATCTTGCTTTCAATTAAAAAAAATTTTTTTGGGGGAAAAAACCAAGGGAATTCCTTCATGAGCTGAGGATGTGGTGTGACCAAATATGGTTAAATGGGCGTTTCTGTATGTAAATGACTGAACAGACACAAGCACCTGGGTATGAACGATAAACGTGGGATTTATCGTTAGACGATTGCGAAGAAACGTACGTAGGAGAGGCCACCGCATGTTTCATAAATCAGGACTTTTACCGTTCCTACGAACATTCTACATTTCGTTTATAGAAAGAAATATAGGAATATTTCTACAAACATTTGATGAGTGAGGGCTCAGAGGTGTTGCTTCCAGCTGTAAATACGGAAGTGGTGAGGACGGCTTAAGGTGCTATACATTCATAAGCCTCTAGATGATGGTGTTGGATAAAAAAGCTCCAGATTTCTGCTTTAAGTCCAAATAAAGCTTTATTTATAGCTCTGCTAGTCTGGAGCACTTTAAAGTTAAAGTCCCATTAGTTGTCACACACACAGGTGTGTGTGCGAAATTTGTTCTCCGCATTTGACCCATCCCCTGGGGGAGCGGTGCGCTGCAGACAAGCCGCGCTCAGGAACTATTTGGTGGTTTAACCCCCCAATCCAACCCCTTAATGCTGAGTGTCAAGCAGGGAGGCATTGGGTCCCATTTTTTCAAAGTCTTTGCAATGACCCGACCAGGAATCGAAACCCCTGATCTCCCAGTCTCAGGGCGGACACTCTACCACTAGGCCACTGAGAAAGGTGAAGACACACCATGACACACCAACTAAACTAAAGTAACACTTATTTTCCTGTGACTCACCTTCCGACTCAAAGCGATGAGCAGACACTCCGAAGCTTCCAGCTGCAGCTCTGGTTCAACCAGCAGTAGGCACAACATCTCCAGCAGCTTACAGTTTCCGCTGGTGATGTGCACCAATGACACCCAATCTATGTAGCCTGCGAGTGTGTTGAGCACCGCCACGGCAACGCGACAGTGAGCTTTGGCCTGCATGTTTGTAGGCAAAACATCAGAGACAATGAGACAAGTGAAATCAAGGTGGCCACGTTGAGTTTAGTCTAGATGTTGCTTTTTTTTTTATACCTGCAGTTCACACGCGGGCACCACTTTCTAAATGACAAAGAAAAATCAAATTCAGCCGTTCAAAACTCAATAAAGTTAAAGAAAAGTACCAAAGTTTGGACCACACTGACCACTATGCGATATTCCTCAACTTGAATACGCAGAATAGTCAACAGGAAAGTGAAGATTCTTTCCATGTTTTGAGTGAGCGTCTGCTGGATGTCCCTGCGCCGCTGACTGGGCAAAGTCTGGAAAGTGATGACATCCTCTGCCAGCCTCAAAAGGATCAGCATGACCAGTTCTGTCTGCGTCTCCTGTGACATATACATTTTTATTCTATTTTATACACTTCATCTCAAGGGAGGTTGTATTTCTTAGGTCAACCGATTCAATAAAACTGTTAATGTTGACAGGGGAGAGATGAAGACACCTGTTGTACAGTGGCCAAGTCTGAGCAATGACGTCATATGAAAACGAGCGTGATAAATCCCCCACAGGAGTACATTTGTTTACGAGGCATTACATAATCCTATTTAAATTGAATCCAAAGTGGTTAAGGAAAAAAGCAACACTTCCTGGACCATACATGTCACTCACCCCCCGACTGGTAAGAGCCTCCATCTCCTCCAGCATATCCGGCCAATTCTGAGGCCACTCTCTCTTGATCATTTCCACGATTATTCGAGATAGGCCATCTTTGATGTGTCTCTCTTCCTCCATGATAGAACAGGTATCCTGATAAGAAGGGAAAGTGACAGATACTGAAGACAGTCAGGGCTGACGTTTCATCTGAACTATTTTACTCTTTCACCTACAGAAGACAGCAGCTGCATGGCACACTCTTTTAACTGGACTTTCTCTTGTTGCTCCATGTTGTTCCACCGATACCTGAAAGGTGAAAATAAATGAAAATCATACGTGCTTTATTCTTTGTTTATCTGTGTCAGTGGTCCACCTACTTGATGACGTGCTCCAGGATTTGCAAACCAAAGTGTCTCACCAAAGCTGGGTGGGTTTTGTCAGCTAACCGAAGGCCACATGGGACACAAAGGGTGCTGGACTCTTTAAAGTCTTCACAGAACTGAGCAAGATAAACTTCTTTATTTTATAGGCAGTTAAATTAATTTGATGTTATTTAATCTCAGTATCAACACCTCTAAGTGGAATTCACCTGTTCATGCAAAGGCTTGTAAACGCAACAACAAATGAATGAGCTAATTCAAGTAAAATTATGTAATCATTTACGTGATAATAATGCTAAACCAGAACTTGCTACATGCTGTTACGAAGATATTACTACATAAAATACCAGTAATTGATTCGGTTAAGTGGGCTAATAATGTTTCCCTTGAAAACAGCAAGAAATTACTAGCTTCGCTAACGAGTAGTGGCTAACTAGCTAGCAACCGGTAACGATGCTACCTTTAGGGCCTCCATTCGGTCAACTTGGCTTGTTTCTGCATCCATCATCATAAGCACAGCTTTTGTAAGCTGATCGCACATGGCAGCCACCGGCTCAGCCATGACTTCAGGTAGCGTCTGTCACACCGTTAAAGACGAAAGCAAGCAACCTCCTTAAGCAAAACCACCACAAGAAGCGTGCAGCAATGGGAAGCGCCAACGTGCAGAAAACGCGAAGCTGCTTTTTGGTTTGAATCCTTCGGCTTGCCGTTGAGGGGAACTCTGGATGTTGTAGTTTAAAGTGCTTTGATAAATGCAATCAAAATTGTGCAAATGTCAGAATTTTGAAGTCTTATCTAAATATCAAACGGATTTTGTGAAACATTATCAAAACCCCAAAAGCTTAAAAAACACCACAATGTATATTTTTATTGCTGTGCTGCTGATTATAAATAATTATAATTATGGACAACTTCAATTTCTAACAGAACATGCTGCAATCTCAGCTAAACCAACTACTTTCACCAAATGCCACAAGGACTATAATCTTGTATTGTTGACACATTTAAATACATTAGGCTACTTGTTTCAGTTGCATGTATGTCCACCAAAGATGAATGCATTTTGGATGATACAAACTAATAAGGTGACAGAATAGTAGACGTTTAAAATCAAGATCCAGCAATCAAAGTCACTATCTGGATGGTACGGCACAATTGATTTTGATAGGTTTTTTTGTTTTTGTATATTTTAACCCCGACAAGCAAAAATAAAATAGCAATAACTAGGCTATTTTTAAAATTTAAGGAATGGAAAATAGAGATAACTGTGTGAAAATGTAAGAAATAGAGCGAATAAGTCAGCTAATACTCCAGTCAGATAATTACTCCAATGAAGTATGGATACTCAACAATTACATCAAGTAAAGAAGCAACATATTACTTTGTTTCTTAACAGCGTTACTATTTATCTATTTCTAGGTTATCACATTTAGTATTTTGCATATTTACTCAGTCTATTCACATTAGAAACATTTTATGTCCATCATTTAAACAATAACTTTTTCCATTCATTTTCTCACTCCACAACATTTAGCTACAATCTCGTGCACATTATTTTCAGATGTGGTAAATTCAATTGATTCAATCTTTCAAATATTATTTTACACATATAGGCCTGTATGGCCTTTTAGTATTTATTATTATTGTGAATCTTATTTGCTACTGTCAATTTACTTTGGTGCTGTTACACCAAATGTTCCAACTGGAGGACAATAAAGAGAATTTCTATTCTTTTCCTTTTAGATTTTATCTGTGATGTTGTGCTGCCTTCTCTAACAGATAGTTTTAGTGCTCCCATGTGATAATAGCTCAATTTGGCACCATGCAGGTCAATGTGGATTTTCACTTATTTAAAGTAAAGTTAAATCCAGCAAAAACATATTGCTTTCGTTCTTATTTATTTATTTAGTTAGCTATTAAAAACAAAGCGAAAATCAAGTGAAGGAGATATTTGTGCCAACAACTTCCGTTTTATGTCCCAACTTCATTTTGCTTCCTGAGTAAGACCCTTTTGATTTTATCCAGTTCAGGTTAGTTCCTCAGTTTGACCTTTCTAAGCAACCGCTTGATCCGGCGTTTTATTTATTTAATTTTGTTTTCGAAGAGATGACATTACACATTTCACAACAGCAGTGGGGGGCGTGTACTGCTCCAGTTCTAGGTCAACAAAGGGGCGGAGCCTGAATTCCAAAGTGGAATGGACTTCCTCTCGCGCGACGTCACTCTGGGATAGGCTGCGAGCCGTCGAGCAACGCCGTCAGTCAACGGGTGTTTCGAGCTTACTATCTTCGCTCCCGCTCGTAAGTAAAGGCGTTTCAGTAGCTTTATAAGTCCAACGTGTATTTCGTGTTTTGACGTGTGTGTTCCAAGTCGTTCGTGTTTTTTCCCGTTTTGCCCTCGCGCTCGTAAGTAGCCATCTCAAAGTTAAAAAGCGACGCTCGCCGAACTACAACGGAAACTTTTGCCGTGAAGGCCCTGTTTATCCGTAGCAACAGGTCCTGTTAACACGAATGTGATTTATTATTAGTAGTATTCGAAACGGGTTTAAAAAACATTTTCTTTTTCTTTCTATACAGAACGGGAGCACCGAGGTGGAGAAAGTATCCTTGCCGTTGCCTGTCGACAGGTTTAGGCTCTGGGATTAAAGAGATCGTCTCACTGCTTTCGTCGAAACTGCCGGTGGGAATTCATGCCGTGTTGGTTACCTAAATGCGGTACGAAGCTAAAATGATGCCGGTAAGATGGATGATTTTTTTTACATATGATTGAACGTTGCCCTGCTCCTTGTCTTTTTTTTTAGATTTTATCATTGCTTGTACAGAATGATGGACATTTAAACTCACGCGGCAAGTTGATCTGGTAGCTATCTGCCTAACCTTGTGGCGTCATGATAACACAAGCTTCTGTTGGGAAGTTTATTTGCTGTGAGCTCGGTCGATGCCTCCAGTGGAAGTAAATTATGTTTTATTACATATAGACTATTTCCTGAATGCAAGGGTGCATTAATTCGGTTGTAGTATTAGTATAAATCATTCCACCCTGCTCAGATTGCACAGCAGTCTAGAGAAACCTGCCAAGTCTTGCTGGCACAGACTACCAGAGCAGTTCTGGACTCCTGCCGTGTCATCACTATCATCATCATCAAGAGGTTCATTGCTTTCGCTGCAGTGCAAGATTTAATCTCAATGCTTTTCTGAGGGCAGTGGTGTCTGCACATGCCATCTGTAGGAATATATCATCCACTGAAATGTTGTTAATTAACAAGTGGCAGTTAATTTCCCATGAAAAAAATGTCTACAGTTTCATATTGCATGTAATAGTATTCACCTTATTATGAACATCTGAGATATTATGCAAATAATTAGTACATTTTGTGAGTTTATTGGTCAGTGTTTCACCTGCTATAAGAATATCTAAAATCAAGGATTTGTTTTACGTCACTTATGTTAAGTTTTATTTTATCCCAGTGAAAGTAGTTCCTAATGTTCTAGAGATGTAAGAACACATCTACAAATACTACAAGCAGTGTGAGGATTTTAAGAGGATTTTAAGAATTTAGAGGCCCTGTATTTTTTATTGTGCAATATAAACTTAAACAGCTAGTAGGCAGCAGTTTTAGCCTAAAGGCCAGATAATATTAGCCATTTTTAAGACATATTCATTGGTATCCTGAGATCTTGAGCTGTGAGAATGAAGGTTGTTAAATACTGCTGCCACCTAGCAACCAAAATTAGAATTGCACCACACAAAAAGAAATTCATTACGTTTTTGCATTTTATATTTTCCGTTTATTGTTTTATATATATATATATATATATATATATATATATATATATATATATATATATATATATATATATATATATATATATATATATATATATATATATATATATCGTATTGTCAGATTTTTGCCTATACACATCCCTACTGTGTTCAAGTAATGAAAAGAACACAGCTTTCAGTGAATCCCCTTTCCTCATTTTGTTGTGCTTTATTGTTTCCATTTAAGTTATGACCACAAACTGATTATTATGACAATTTTCTATTGATGATGGAACCAACCAACCCATTTAAACTTGTCCCTCTTTGCTTGGGTCCATTCACCATGGAAAGCTCAGTGAGTTGTCTTGGAAATGGGAGCAGTGTGTTATATTCAGATGACTTATTTTTTGCCCTGTAATCTATAGCTGACCTATAGGGATGCATGATGTATTGGCATCAACATCGGTATCGGCTGGTGTTAGTCATTTTTGAACATTTCGGTATCGGTCCAATAAGTAAAATTGTCCGATATTAACAACCGATAATTTTTCCATCTTGTTTCTGTTTGTGTATCCATTTCATAGGGTAAGGGGGATGATGATATGTAATTTTTTTGTCCTGTGACAGTGATGGTAATCATCTCAGAAGTGTAAATGTGTGTGGTGTGTGTAAATAACATATTGCAAATTCCACATTTTAGAAAAATTCAATTCAAAAATACTTTATTAATCCCAGAGGGAAATTGATTGCTGTAGTAGCTCAGAATAATAATAATAATCAAGTGGTTTAAGAGTTATTGTATATTACAATGGCTGTTGGCAAGAAGGCTCTCCAGTAGCGGTCAGTGTTGCAACGAAACTGAAGAAGCCTCTGACTGAAGACACTCTTTCGTTGTCGGACAGTCTTGTGAAGAGAATGCTCAGGGTTGTCCATAATTTTCTTGATTCTCTGGAGAATCCGTGGCAAAAAATTCAAGAATTCAGCTTCACTCTATACAAAATTAGCTGATTTCAGAAGCGTAAATCGGTATCAGCAAATATCGGTAATCTGCCTTAAAGGGACTTTACGGAGTTTTGAATTTTTATGCTCGCGATTGCCCCCTCAGGCCAAAAGCATAACGGCAGCTTCAATAGTAGGCTCGTGCACGAGGCGCGCATGCTGTACGTGCACACTCCTTAACAAAAATAACAGCTGAGACAGTCCCGTGTGTGTGTGTGGCCCGGAGGACAGAGGACAGGAGAAGTGCAGCTAATTAATTAAATAATTTGGTTCTTTATCCTTTCTCTTCAGCACAGCCGACAAAGGTTTATGACAGGTCAGTCCTCCTGCATGCTCAGATCATTCCCTTCCCTTGCTTGAAAAATTGTTCCAAAATGAAAGTTGAACCCACATCTTTTTTATCTGTGAATTCAATGCCGTTCTGCGAGTCTCAAATAAAAATTTGGGCATCTTACTGTAAAAAAATATACCATTAATGTAAAAAAGAAACTCTAAATAAACTAGGTTCACACCCAGAATCGAATCCGGGTCTTCTGCATGAGAGTCCGACGTTTAACCAGGTGAGCTAAAGCACCAGTGACGTCTTTTGTATCTGTAACATTTATATCCTTGATTACAGCTGAAACAACGTTCAAAGAACGGTTCGGAGCGAAAATGGCTATTTTGTTGCTAATTTGCAGGAAATATCTAGAAGAAAGTAGCTAAGGGTCCTCAGAAATGTAGCTAGGTTCATCACTAGGTGTTAGGAACACCGACAAAGTCGCTGAGTTGGCACTACACAAAGCTAAAGCTACGGATAGCAAATGCTACGGGCGATGCCTGAGCGTGAACGCGCATGAAGCAGCCTGCTCGACCCGAGCAGCTCTTTTTCTGTGATTTGACAGAAAAACAGGCAATCACAGTAAAAATGCCAGGGCTCATTCTACAGGACCAGGGCATTGCAGGAGAATGTGTGAAGAAGAAATTTATTATTTTGTCTGCATGAGTAGTGCACAGGTTTACCTTATACTGCCCACAATAAAAGGCCACCCTGGAATGTGCAGTTTTGTATCACAGCAAAATGCCACAGATGCCACTCATGATGTCGGATCAGCATCTTGATGTGGCACACCTGTGAGGTGGGATGGATTATCTCAGCAAAGCAGAAGCGCTCACTATCACACATTTAGACTGATTTGTGAACAATGTTTGAGAGAAATGGTAATATTGTGTATCTGGAATGAATTTTAGATCTTTAAGTCCATCTCATGAAAAATCGGAGCAGAAACAAAGGTGTTGCGTTTAAATTTTTTTGAGTGTATATAGCGCCAAATCACGACAAGCGTCGTGTCAAGGCACTTCACATAATAAACATTCTAATAGTGATATTAATTTCGATGTCGGCCCAAATACTGCATACCTGTGCATCCCTACTGACATTTATATTTTTTTGTTATCACTAAGCTTTATTCTCATCCAAACAATATAAATGATCACCACTGTGAGCAGAAGCAACATTTATTACCCACAGGCACCCACAAATTTAATTCTGTCTCCTGTGGATATATCTGCACTGCTTACTGTTCACATAAGATACAGCTTCTGGTGTTTGCCTGATAAACACAAAGTGGTCTTTAGTTGCGTCTGATATGAGGTATTGTCCCATAAATTACACTAACAGCCCCTGACCCTGGTGGTGCAGGCCAGGGATTTGGGGGGTTGTGAGCATGTAGTGTAATAATTGCTGGCCGGGATTGTAAATAGGGAGGTCAGTGTTTCTCGAGCACAATGGGCTGAAGGGGCTATTTATCATTGTGTTGTAGGGACCACTTTGTTTATGCGCCTGTGCTGTTGCATCACCCTGATAAGAGTTTCTCACCCTTATTGAACTGTAGCCCAGTGTAACTCATTTACACCTGAATCACACTTACTTAACCCTGCTTTGTTATGCAGATTTTTATTCTTACTTTACATTTTCTTTAGAGCGTTTTGGTAAACTCAACTGGAACAAAACCAGAAAATGAGGTTTGAACAATATTCAGGTTGTTTTTCTAATTGCAGTACAAAGTTATATATTAGTCAATGTTTTAAATCATGTTTTAAAAGAATTTGGGTTACATCACAAGCAGAAGATTTCACTTTAAAATAGCACTTTTGTTTATTAACATGGCAAACCACGCTATATGTGTGAATATACATAGTCTAGCCACAATCCATAGACAGACTTCCTTTTTTCTAAATAAAAACTTGAGCACCTCTTTCTGCTCTTGAGTCAAAGAAAACCCAATTCTAAGTAGTCCAAAGATGATGCCAAAGCCACTGTCTGTCTAAATTTCTTGGCTAATTATCAGTTTTGTTGTTGCCTTTAGGTCATAACAGAGAGAATAATCAGCGGAAGTATCTAGCAATAGCTGGTGCACGTCTGAGAGCGAAGTTGAGCCTTTCATTTCATTTACAATAAATCTTTTTATCAACAACCTGAAGGATTTTCCTGATCATGTGCAATGATACTATGATGCATCTGTGGATGCGAGTTTAATCTGGCTTGTTTCATAGAACCACATCAGTTGCCTTAGGATTTCTTATTTACTAGCTCAAAATACAGAGCAACTCAGAGCTGAAGAATTAATTTAAAATGTTTTATTGAAAATGTTTTTGCACCTATTAACACAGTTGTGATTAGCATTGTTTAATGTTTATCTGTTTCTCTGGTATTGAATGTAAAGATAAATTTGAAAGTTATGAGTTCTGCTTGTTTGACAAAACTAAAATTTTGTATTCGAATACAGTTTGGTGCTTAGATAATTGCCATGATAATTCTGTAGGGTTCGGGAGATTGAGTGCTTTAAGAACTCAATAAATATATTACCGTAAATCCTCTAATATTAGCCTGTATTCATTTAACTGCTGGGTAGGGCTGCAACAACGAATCGATAAATTCGATGAAAATCGATTACTAAAAGCGTTGGCAACGAATTGCGTCATCGATTCGT